AAAAAGATTTTTTATTACATGTTAAGGTTCCACTTCTTGGAGATCAGATGCGCAATGCTCAAATGTCAGCTAAACATGGAGGAACAGTTGTGCTCCACAAACTAGACCTCACTGATGCAGCAAAATTGAAGAGCACATTCGAGGAAGTTCTTAGCAATCCCAGGTTATGTGGTTATTCAGACATTATTAAAGTCATACGTTTGGTCTTTGCGTCTTAATGGAGTTTTGCTCTCTTTTCAACTTTTGTCTAGTTCACACAATTTACATCGAAAATTTTGTAGAATCTACTTTAGAAATATATTCAAATGTTGCCACAGAGAAACAGTAATATTCTAATATTTACGTTGTCTCTTCGAAAACGCGAATATTTGCGTTGAGGTGCTTTATGCCTGTCTATTTCAGCTATGCCAGAAATTCTGAACGTCTTTCGCAGATGCTACGAAATCAGCCCATTTCACCGAAGGAACTGCTACTGAAGCACGTCAATTTTGCGGCTAAGTTCGTTTAAATTTTGTTCTTTTAGCTCTTCAACTGTTTCTTCTTGAATGATTGCCTTTGCCACATCACTAACTCCTGCTCGTTATATTCTCAGTAAATTTAGATTTGGACGTCTGCCAAATCTTAACCCATACGGACTACGCCTCTCTTTTATTCAATATTTCCTAATTGATATTTTTGCTCTGCTGCTTGTATTACCAGTCTTGATTATACTGGTCGTTGCATTTTCAGTAAGGAAATGTTGTTGTAATCGAGTTACCAAATTGAAACAAAACTAGAAAATGTTTTTGCCGCCTTATATGCCTGATATGTGTCTACCTCCTTTCATTACTTAATCTTTAGCACAGAAAACAGGAAAGAAGAATGTGGTAAAAAGAATAGTTCCATATCTATAGAAGTTGACTACAGATATCCAGGGGATTAAACTGGAGGTTTTATAAATGAATTTAATGCCAAATGGTATCGGTGTCGGGCCATTGAAATCATGGGATACGTTTGTTACATCCAGACCTCTTCCCTCTTTAGTCATATCCCTAATGATATTTCCCATGGGTAAGGCCGAACATGACTTTCAAAAG